TATCAGAGAAAGTCTGTAACAAGCTAGGATTAGAAAGGAGGGGTGTGGAAATCGTGGTGAGATGTTCCGCTATACTTTGCCAGTTGGTTCTGTCGCTATCTACCGTTATGTTGCCTCAGTCATTGCCGAGTTTTCAAGGACCATATAGGCTGCTGGTGACCTGAGGCAGATTGTGGAAAGTCAGTGATCAGAACCTGCTCAACCTCTACTAGCAGCTGTAGGCGTAGCTGCATTGCGACGGCTGCTGAAGGAGGATACGAAGATGAAGTCAGCAACGGAGTTGGCAACCCGTTCTAAACGGGGCTGACAGCATGGTGTGATAATGGCGCTTCATATAAGGTTATACGAGAACAATATTGACTGGGAAGTCACAGTCAGAAAATAAAACTTCTTAAAACTCAGATAAAAAAAGCAGAAGACAGTTGATGAGGTTGTAAGGGAACGACTAGATATTTCAGAACTCTCGTCACGGACGGGAAATTCTGAACAATCGCAGAAATTTTGAAGTTTCTTTATTAAGGTTTCGACATCAGGCGCATAGACAGGTATTGATGTCTTGATAGAATCATTGGATGGAAGCCTGACAATGAAAGAATGGAATACAACAGAAATGGATACACACTACAACAAGCTAACGGATTTCGACAAAGTCTGGAGTTAAAACACTTGAGAAAGCCTTGGTGTACAGCTGCTGATTATTCAAAGTGAGAAGTTACAGTTGTGATAAATTTGGCAGGTTATGTTATATGATAAAACTGCTAACGCTAAGTCGACCGACCAACTGAAGACTCAACGAACTGTTAAGAATGTCATCGACCAATTGACTTTTCGAACTCGGCTCCAGAATCAGGTTATCTTCTACCAAAGCTCAGACGCTGGTAAAGGACTGAAAAATCTGGAGACCGTCTGACACAACTGCCTATATGATTATTAAGGATAAGCGGCCATCGAAAATGACAGACTGAAAATTACAGAGAAAAAAATCAAAAGAAATCCTCTATAATCTAATACTCTTGTCCATAAGGTTTTGTCTTACTTCATCTGCACTGCACGGAGTTCCATCAACAAATTGAATTACTAAATTCATGCAGATGTTCGCTTACAGATAAAAAACAATGAAATCCGGGTGGCAAACTGTCTCGAAGCTACAGCATGTAACAATCATTTTGCAAAGGATGGCATTGGCGTTGTGCATTCATAACGAATTACGTAACCTAACGGGTCATATGTCAACACTTTCAGAATTATTCTTGAAACCAAAGATGTAAAATCAATAAGACTAGTTCTGAAAACAAGTCTAATTACTTGTCGCAGGATAGGGAAATGAGGCCTGAGACACCTGCAGAAACTACGAGACAGGCACATAAAATTGGGAATAATACAGAAGCAGAAGAACAAGCGAAAGATACCGGTGTGCAGCATTAACCACTTTTTGAGAAAATAAAAGAAATACATTTTTATACATAAAAATACACCCCTATATTACATGTTTAGTAGAATACTGCTAGTTCGATGCCGCCGTTGAGAGAAATGTCTATTTTATTATCAGATGTTAACGGTATATTGACACCGTCTCCTTGCTTCTAGCGGTCTAGGGGATCATTTAAGCAGGCTACACTCTATGGTATCTGAGCACCTGCATTACAAGGATGCAAAACCGCATCATTAGGCAGGGCCAAATAAAATACACTTTACTCAGTATGTGGGTGTTATGGTAAGATAGCTAAAGATAGTCTCGTATTACGACTCTGATATATTTTCTACTCATAGTCTTGGACAGACCTCCGTTGAACAGTGGATGAAAAAAGCCTATTGATGAAGATGATACTTCAGTCCAAGGACATGTCCGATCGAATGAATGGTCAAAGAATCTCTGTTGTTCGACGCATTCTTTAGAAAAGTGGACGTGTCCGACATATAATGTGTTCTAATTCAGCAGACCTTTCGTTGTTTATGGTGAGCTTTGTTTCAGGTGCTCAGTCCTACACGGAGGAAACGAATTTTGATAAGTATGAAAATCAGCACTGTACGCATACATGAGACAGTTAACAGTTAATAGCATGAATGAGACGGCCAGGTTTGGCGCAGAGACTAAATAACAGTAGTAAGATAGATATTTACGGCAAACTATACAGGTGTTTTAAGCTCGTCTATAACTGACTACTGAAATGGCATTACTTTACAACAAAGTTAGTTACCGAGAACACGAAAACTGGATTCATGCCACAGATCGGTGGCGGATTAGCCAGGAAACCATACACAAAGAAATTTCCTTCCTGAGTAAAACCGAAAAACATGATAATACGATCAGCTAGCCATTGAAAGACCAATGCGCTTGGCTGGAATTTCAGAAGCGCCAGTGCAATGACGAACTGCATCGCGAAGCCCCAAATCACCGGCCGCCAGTTTATCTAAAAGATCATTGTTCAATCTGTTACAACACC